CGGGTTGAAACTTGGTATGTACCGGTACCTAAACCAGGATATGTTATAGATGAAAATTGAAGTGACGTCACGATGTCGTCATCAAATGACATGTGACGTCATATTAAAAGTGCATATTCTGAAGGCTAATATCTACAGAACTATAGGTCTGATTGGGTTGAAACTTGGTATGTACCTAAACCAGGATGTTATACAGATGAAAATTGAAGTGACGTCACAATGACTTCATCACATGACATGTGACGCCACATTAAAAGTACATATTTTGAAGGCAAATATCTACAGAACAACAGGTCCGATTGGGTTGAAACTTGGTATGTACCTAGACCGGGATGTGTTTATAGATGAAAATTGAATTGACTTCACAAAACGTCATCACATGACATGTGACGGCATATTAAATGTGCATATTTTGAAGGCCAATATCTACAGAACCGTATTGGTCCCGATCACTCTACCGCACATGTCCTGTCAGTCTTACATGACATCAAAATATATATACAAATTACCGAAACAGTCGCATGTTTGTACACAAACATAAAGAAATAATTGCTTGTCCACTTGAAAGCAGAAAAGCATTTTTTTTTGTTCAGATTTTTGTTGGCTTTTCTGCAATTTGAAGACAAGCCTTTGTTTTTTTTCAGATCTTTTTTTGGGGGGTTTTTTTTTTCTTCATATTCTTGTTGGCAAAAATCCCATAGACTTTGTGCATGTTTCATTAACCTGGTCACTTTTCACAATAAACAATCTTGATGAAAGTTGGCACAAACGAAGACCACATAGTGAGTTAGTGTGCCGAAGAGTGACGTAATGATTATGTCACGTTGTCATCATGTGTCACGTGACGTCATCTTAAACTTGTGCAAACTTTAAGACCCTTTATCTAAAGAACAATTAGTCCGATTGGGTTGAAACTCGATATGTAGGTAGACCGGGACGTGTTATAGATAGAAATTGAGGTGACATCATAATGACATCATCTTGTGATTTTATATCGATTTTTGAAGTTTTGGACCTTTAAGCCATATCTCATGAACGCAATATGCTAAATTCTATGCTTTTTTGTATGAGGTTTGTTAAGCAATAGGCGTATGCACACAATTTTGAAAAATGTGTGACGTCATGAAAACACGTATAAGGGAATGTCCGATCGTCATGAAACTTGGTGGGTGGGTAGATAGTACTAGTGCACAAAATCTGAAATGACACCACGATGAAGTCATCATCAGATTTTTAAAATATTTACAAATTTATTCTGCTTACAAAATTTAACATTTTTATTCATCCCATTGGCTTCAAACTTGGTGCAGACTAAATCCACAATAGAATAATGAGGGGGGGGGGCCTCTTGCCATATTTTAAATTGGGAGTGCTGATAAAGTCCCACAATCGGGCACACTATATATTAACTAAAAGTGTGCAAATGCACCCTTCTCACGACTATTTATTTAGGGGGAGGCCGTTCACATGTACGTCACATTGTTACATTTGGCTAGTGCTATTTTTATTTTTTATGGAATTTCTTTTTTTGGGGGGGGGGGGGGGGCGCTAGACACATTTTTTTTTGGGGGGGGGGGCTAAAGCCTCCCCCAGTAGTAAAGAACGGGAGGGTACGGTGACAAAATCTCTACTCTCCTCTCTCCCAGTATCTCTCCTCTCTCAATATCTCTCCTCTCTCCACCAGACCAAAAAAAAACACTCTCCCACCAGACAAAACCCTCAGGAGAGGGGTACGGCGACAAAATGGAAAAATGTGTGGCAAGTCTGGACACGTCGCTCTGGTTTCTAAAAATAAATCTCACGGCGACAAAATGCCCAATATCTTTTTGTCTCCAAGTTGTTGGGGGTTCTAGACTTTATAGGGACTCGGCTGGCACCAGACTAAATCTCCAATATCTCTCTCTAAATATTTCAGTCTAGGCACCAGACCAGTCTCTTACTATCTCTTTATTAAAGGGATAGAGAGGTTTTTTATGATTTAAAACTTTATTTAAAAAAATCAATCATTTAGAATAAATGAATCTTTTTCAGAGTGAACACCCTGAGCTATCTGATAAAACAGATCAATGCGATCACCAGATTATCATCGAGAATGGATTCTCGATGCGGTAAAATAATCTCACGTTACTTTGATTTTTCAGCAGAAAATGCACAAGGAGAACGCATCAACTGGTCTTTTCTAAAGAAGAATCAAAAGAAAAATCTCAAGAAGCTGATTTGAGACATGTCTACAGAGCAAGACTCAGAAGACGTCCAAGAAACGATCAATAAATATAACGAGCTCGTTAATTACAAAACATTGAGGGGAAACGGATGCGTCAAAAGATCATTAATAGCAGCGTGTTATTACAACGTCTTTAGATTAGACAAAGAACGAGTCAGAGATTTATTTAAAGTGACACAAAATCAATTTGATAAAGCCTTAAAAAGATACGATGACCACTACAATAAAGGCGGGGCTGACGGTAACACCCGTATAGGTGATATAGAGGGTATTGATGTATAACTCGGTGGATCGCTTTCATAATGTTTATTTGTAAGTTTTTCGATAAGATATTTTTTTTCTTTTGTCAGCTGTTCGTCTACCCGTTTTTTTTAAACTTCTTTTTCAAAGTCTGAATCGTTTTTAATTTTTTGAAGCTTTGTACTGGTCTTTGTTCTAATTTTTTGCTTAAGCTCGTTAAATTTTGCAAGCTCTCTCGTAATCAATAAGAACTCTTCGTGCAATATATCTCCGTCGTTAATGGCTTGAGACACGTATTCTTCAATCGTGTTAAGTTTGGAGTCCGCTTATATTTTAATCTGGTCGTGCTTTTTCAGCTTGACGGATAATCACTTAGACGCGATTCTAAGCAGAATATCTACACCGAAAGCGCCTATAAACGTTCCTTCTAACACCAATCCAACGAGGGCTGATATAACACCCAAGAGAGCGGGAATACTGACAGCCCCCGCTATAGCCCCCAATCCTTCTAATCCTAGCTGTACGTAGTTAATCATGTCGATCATTCTCTTTATATTTTTATAAGTGCGCTCTCGGTGTCCTCTCTTTCAAGATTAGAGATCGAATCTCTTCAATCTTTTTTAGTCTGTACACTTTTGTTTCGTCGTTACTATTTAATCGGAGAACATCTCCAGAAATATCGGGGTATAACACCTTATTATCTATACTCATGTTTTTAATATAAAACGATTTTGAAATTAAAAGATCTCTTACTCTATCATTATACTCACCCCCTTGTTGTTGATGATCTGTCCTTTTTCACCTCTGATTGAAAATGTCAGTTTATCGATTATACCGTTTTTAAGTTTTTTGAAACCCTCGACTCTATCAGGCTCAGGTTTGCACGTACCCACGGGTACGATTTTTAAGAAATCATCAGGTCGGCCATCTAGGAAATTTGCACTCGTACTTAATTGCGGGCAGCAAATAAACAAAAAATTAAACGGATTAATGTGTAAGACCCCATATAGACCACTTTGGGTATCAGTCTTCCTTTGGGTAAATTAAGTAATCAAGAGATGACTAGGTGCGCAGGCTCAAACAAAAACGAGCGTATTAACACCAGGCACCGGATTAGATGCTCAGAGACAATTTAACGTCATCATAGAAAATAACAGCGTTGCTGTTGAAACCCCTCAGCCAGAGTCAAGTTATCATCCGGAAACCATTAACTCAACATGGTGACCTTGACCTTTGGCCTTTGACCCCAGAACCAGTCCCGACATGCCTGTACCAATGGGAATCCCCCTACTGAAGATAGACCCCAAAATTTCATGTCTAACTCAAGTTATCATTCGGAACCATTTACATTAAACTCACCACGGTGACCTTGACCTTTGACCTTTTGACCCCAAAACCAATTCCAACTTGCCTACTCCCAAGGGCAACCCTCTACCAAAGTTAGACACCAAAATCTCATTTCTAACTCAAGTTATCATCCGGAAACCATTTACCTTTAACTCACCACGGTGACCTTGACCTTTGACCTTTTGACCTCAAAACCAATCCCAACTTGCCTACTCCTAAGGGCAACCCCTTAATGAAGTTACAACCCCAAACAACATTTCTAACTCAAGTTATCATCCGGAAACTAAGCTACCCGGACGGACGGTCTAGCCAGACGGACGGACGGACGCCCTAGGCGATGACAATACCCCTCGAGCCTCTCGGCTGAGGAGTAAAAACATCATAAACGGGGAAGACAACATGGAAACGAGTATCGATCAATTTCAAGACTCGTTTCAGTATGCCAGAACGCCTTTAAATTTTGTCGTGAAACTGGGTTTGTATTTAATTCCATCTGATATGAACTTGAGGGTTGGAACGCACGATGGATGTAACAACAATCTTCAAATCGCTACCCAGATTATGAAAACTGGTTTGGTGCCAGATTTAAACTCACAACCTCAACCGGATGACTCTTTTGATGACACCGACGACGTCGCGGTACCAACACCCCCAGAGCCTATGACGAACGATATTGTATCACCAACACCAACACCAGCACCTACACCAACACCTGCAGTTTTAACCCAGGAGCCAACGAAACTACAAACTCACCAGGACGAAAAATTATTTTTGACGGTAGGAATGTTAGCTATCGTTGGCATGGGTATTTTGGCTTACGAGGCAACGCATTAAGTCACACTCTAATCGCACAAAAAAAAGCCTTACCAACTTTGTGGTGGTAAGGCTTTTTTTTTTAACTTTGATTACAACTATTACTACCATCGTTTTTGCAGGTAAGCCAAGGTCAAAAGTGATAAGCATGTGTAAGACTCAGATATCTATGGGATTATATGTTGCATGTAAATTTCAATACATGTATTAGGGTTTGCCCTTCACTGACGTATATAAACACACAGAGTTACAAAATGAGCAGGCCTACACAGTGTTTCACCTTATAACACACCGAGTGAACAGCATTTATAAGTCGATGAAGAGCAAAACCTAATATTGATTTACATCACCCTGACGCAAATTCCATCTTAATATGTTACGTGTCTAGGCACAGGGCACACTGAATATAATGCACATTTCCAATGTAACCAAAGGTTGCATGTATCACAACACACACTAAATTCAACATTCCCTTTGATTTCATCTTCTTCGAGACACACCTTGGAATATGTTGGGCAGTATGTGAACACCTTAAACCCTCTAGGTACTGTGAAACATAGGCTTTGAAAAAGAACATGAGGTTCTGCTCAACCTTCTTCCACCACTCTGGTGCTGCTTCTATGACCTCAACAAAGGTGGGCCCGTTTCCTGTCCACACACAGAAGTAACCAAACTTTGTATCAGTTACGGCTATCTGGGCTTGAATTTGGTAGAAGTATGTATGATTCCTCTTCAGCCTCATCTCCCCAGACTCTGCTTGTTCAAGGAAATCCGTTTTCTTGAAACTGTCCTGTATTGTCTGGTCTCTTACTGAGTAGGGACATTTGCATTCCAGAGGGGCACTGCCATGGCACTCACATCTGACAACTGCATCCAGTGTTGCGCCTATGTACGAGAGTGAACCTTTGACAAAAAGACCCGCTTGTTCTACAGACAGATTCACGTGGTTCACTGTCTCTTGCGATTTGAAGGCGTTGACAGCATCTTGCTCATGCTTGCATCCCCAAGCTTTAGCGGGTAGATGGGACAGAGATGGCCCCCCTTTCACCAGTCCTTCCACAAGTGGAGTTGTTCTAGCCCCTTTCCTCCGGCTCGGCTCTACCACCTTATTATTGACAGCCATACACTTGGACGCCGTTATCCTGCCCAGACGTTGCTCTTTCCACGCCTGGGATACATGCACTTGTACGCATGCGCATACCATCATTTCGCTTGTACTGTACCCCCCGCGGCGCGCTCCGAGCGAACCGAAAATCATCGCTCGATCATATGCGTGCACGTTTCAAGTGTCAGGTTGGCTCAGTGCGGAAAGGGCATATTTTTCATCATTTTAGCCAAAAAGCGACAAAATCCAGCGATGTTTGTTCTGCGCATATTTTGTGAGTATGTCATGAGGTGTAGTACGGAGTTTGGGGGCAAACTGTGCAGCGGTTCTGTGGGAAATTTCTGCATTTTGATGGACGTTTTTGTACTTAATTAGTGTTTTGTGCTGACAACAATTTTGTGGGGTTCTAAATCTACGTGGAGCCTCATAGTTCTAGGAGTAGTGCGGACATACTGCAGCCATCGCTATGTATGTTGCTGCTGATGTGCTAAAGGGGGTGAACTGTTCCGACTATTTAAGATAGATATTTAAGAGATAATTTCAGAAGACTTGCTTGAGCTTTTTTACTGAAAATCAGTGTTGCGAACACCTGGGCCAGCTGTGCGTGAACATTTCAAGCGTGCCGCGCGAACGAATTTGTCCCGCTAACAAGATGGTGCATAAAACCGTGAAAGTGCTTATGGAACAGCAATATATACTGGGTGATTGGCAGACTTTCGAAGTGGATTTAGCAGAATTTTACATGGTATTACGGTCATCCTACCTTGTAAGACTGTTAATCAGGTACCCACTGGTGGGACTTCTACCGTTTTGCGCATGCGGAACTCCGGGTACCAGAGTGTCATGCCTGTCTTTGATTTTCTGATCATTTTGAAAACATTCGTTGTGACAAAGTTGTGCTGTACTTTACATCACATTTCTTGGCAATGACAGATCCCAACACTCACGTAAATTCACAGGAAGCCCAACAAGTAAGTAATTTACCTATTGGCAAAATTATACGTGGTAATGTAGTGGATCTAAAGATATAATGATTTCGCTTGTATTTCATGTATTTATGCGAGGGAAGCGCGTGGCGTGTATACAACGCCACGTTCACGGGTCCAGCCTAGCCCTGGTGGACTCCCTTTCCTCCCTACGTTACGGAGGGAGTCCTGAGTAAACAGTGCTCGCAACCGAACGGAAACATTTCTGACCAATAATTTCAATATTTTTACCTTGTTGGAGAAGCTAATTTTTACGTCGTAGTATTCTATGTGTCCTTATCTGTTGGGCGGCTGGGTTCAGGAATTCCATATGCGATGCTGACCGACCTTAATCTGGAAAATAAACTCGAAAGCAACGTTAAACTTGTATGTGTTTGTAGACTCTTTTCATCAGTTTCTCACCGCCGAGTCTATTCTAGTCGTACATGATGTACGTCTGTGCAGCGTGTAGTCTGGTTCCCTAGACCGGACAATTATTCTCGACGCTCATATCACATCTGGTCCGGGGACCAGACTATGCAGCATGAATATGCAGTGCGCACGCGCGATTTGCTTAGTAACCACCCTCATACGCACGCGCACTTACTTGAAGGCGCGGTCGCTAATCCAATGACCGAGCGTGTTTTCGCGCCAGTTACCAGAAACACGTTTCGGCTTTGGTCATTGGTTGAGCGTTTTCGAGACATCGGTTGACCGGAGTGACGTCACGGTTCCAACCAAAACTAAACAAATGAGGGCGCTAGCGTGCGTACGCGCTTTCGTACGCACGTACATTGTACATGACGTACGACTCTGGGAATAAACTGATGAAAAGAGACTACAAACACGTACAAGTTTAACGCTGCTTTAGAGTTTATTTTCCTGATTAACGTCAGTCAGCATCGCATATGGAATTCCTGAACCCATCGCCCAACAGATAAGGCGAAGTAAAAAAAAAAACATGTTTAGCGTCCCCGCCCGCTTCCTTTTTAGAGGCCGCCTCCTTTTTTTTTTTTTTTTTTTTTTTTTTTTAAAGACAACAATTGATAAATTTTAACGATCTCTGACGAAAGAAATCATATTTTTAGACTTTTATACCGTGTATAAAGCTGTGGAAATAGTCAATGAGTCCAAGTGGCGGCCATTTTGAAAAAAGCTGGTAACCATCTTGAAAAATAGCCCGGCCGCGTTGTCTTGAAAAATGTGTCTGGCGGCCATTTTGAAAAAAAAAAAGAAAAAAAAAAAAGGGCCTCCTCCTTCCTTTTTGTGAAAGAGGCAGGACGCTAAACATGTTTTTTTTTTTATTTTGCCTAAGGACACATAGAGTATGCAGGCGTGAAATAAGCTTCTATAACGAGGTAAAACATAACAAAACTCTGGTAAAAATGTTGGGTGGTTTCATGTAGAGAATTCTTGCCCTGGACGTTAGTCGTATTTAGTCCGAGTAACTTGGACCCAACTTATCGCCTTTTTTAACATTTGGACATGGTCTGGCGATAGTGGGGTCCAAGCTAATACCACGACCTGGACAACATCATCCTGTCACTGTCCCGAAAACCAACATTTTCCAACAAAAAAAACATCAGATTTCACCTTCAAAACCAAATGACTAGATATGCCACCTGAGGTACAAGTAGACATGGATAATTAAGATGGTTGTACTGAAGTTTACTTACGATCCGGAAAAAAAGTGAAATTTTCCGTTCATTTCGCAGAGCTCCCCTCGCGATCTTGAACACGTTAAATTTCCGATCGTGTTTAATGTTTGAACGACGCGATTTCTTCTACATGCCCAGCGTACATTCGATGGTCTCCGTATCCCGAGTGCGATTCCGTTACCGAGCGCGTGCGATGCATCGATTATGATAATGAGTAGACTAGATCACGTTTGTAAACACATGTGCATTTCAAACGATAATAGGGGAGTCGGGAACTAGCGCAGCTTTTATGGCGGGTACCAGTTCAAGGTGGTTCCCGATTCCCTTTTACAGTTCGAAATGCAGGAAACAGGTCAACTCGTACGCGAACCAACTCGTACGCGAGACAACTTGTACGCGGATTGGTCAACTCGTACGCGAGACAACTCGTACGCCAGCCAACTCGTACGCAAGACAACTCGTACGCGGACCAACTCGTACGCGAACCAACTCGTACACCAGGCAACTCATACGCGGACCGAAATAAGCAAATTTAAATTGAACGATGTTTACGTTCGCCAAAAGTTTACCCCAAAACACACGCCAAAGTTATGGATTTATCACAGTACACAGTACGATTGTATGACTGAATAACTATGATTGTAGCCATATGTATTTTCAACAGTTTAAATTCCATAAATGCAACGATGTCAAGTTCAAAAGTTTCAATGATACAAAAAAACATGATCCATTTTAATTGCGACCGATGTGTAGTGCAATGCTGCGCAAGATGGTGTGAACGATGTCAATTAATATGTTTTAATGAAAATAAAAAATTGGTTAAACTTTTAAAGCGCAATATGTTTTAATGGAAACAAATAAAAATAATAAATAATTAATTACACTTTTAAAGCGCATTTCAAAATAGCATTTCAATGCGCTTAACAACGACAAAAATGTTATACTGCTGCAATACAGATATGAGATAATTTACCTTACAATTACAATGAAAATTTATACTAAACAGCATCACTGTAATTGAGTTGGTAGTGGGTCCGAGTTGGTCGTGGGTCCGAGTTGGTAGTGGGTCCGAGTTGGCATGGGTCCGAGTTGGTAGTGGGTCCGAGTTAGCATGGGTCCGAGTTGGCTTGGGTCCGAGTTGGTTTGGGTCCGAGTTGGATCGAAACCATTTGGAGGCCGTTTTGAAGGTGAAATCTGATGTTTTTTGTTGGAAAATGTTGGTTTTTGGGACAGTGACAGGATGATGTTGTCCAGGTCGCAGTATTAGCTTGGACCCCACTATCGCCAGACCATGTCCAAATGTTAAAAAAGGCGATAAGTTGGGTCCAAGTTAGGGGAAAAGTTCCATACTCGGATGTCAATTTATCTGCTGCCAAATATATTTATTGTCACCTCACCTTGTCATTTGAACCAAAACAAATCCAGGAAGCTGTGTAAAGGCGAAAAAAATGTACTCAAAATGTGTTTTTAGAGCACATTTTGGATGCATACGTCGTGCAGAACTAACTTGAAGCAGCCGGTCAAAACTGATTGTAGTGGCTGAAAAGACAGCGGTACGTTATACACGTGACATCAACAACCATGACGTCGCATGAGCCTGCCAATGATAGTTCAATACGTCTTATGAATATTTATTTTCTCATGAATATTTAGTTTATTTCAATGGATACTTCAAATACGTCCAAAGATTGATGATTGCAACAGCGATCGTGCGCGGCCTAGCGGTTAAGAGTCTCGTGTATCAAGCAAGCGTCAGAGGTTCGAATCCCGATGAAGTAACTGACTGATTAATAAATAGAAATTAAGGAAAGGAGAGGGTGAGAGTAGAGGACGGAAAGTGGAGGAATAACCATAAAAGATGTAACTTTTGGCGCTAGAAAATTAATTGAAAAAAGTTACGTCCGAGTATGGAATTTTTTCCCAAGTTAGTTACTCGGACTAAGTCGTCATGGTCGTATTGCAATTAAGACTTCGTCAAACCTGGGCTAGGGTCCAGCCCTATACAAACACGTGTGCAAAACGAAATCAGGTTAACGTCTCACTCTTTTCCAAAATCCCTGAAATGTCACACGATATGGTGAAATTTACGAGAATTTCACTTACCAACAACAACATCGGCCGTCTACTGACCAGGATGATCTTGGTACGAAAATTGTGCCGGCTTTTCGACTCAGGCGGGTTTTCGTCTATTTACATGATTTATATCGTTGTTGACTGTCGACTGAGGGCGCTACAAACACCTGGGGGAATATTTTATTTACACAATAATACAGGGTGACCATTTTTAATATGAGGCGCCATGTGTAAATAAATTATTTAACAAAATTATTTATATATGTAAATAAATTATTTAACAAAATTATTTATATATAATTCATTATTTATTATATAATTCAGTTTCCCGGACAGTTATATGTAAATAATTGTTTGGCAGTTTGCATTATATAAATACATTTATTTGCCACTGC